CAGGCAGGCAGGCAGGCAGGCAGGCAGGCAGGCAGGCAGGCAGACAGACAGACAGACAGACAGACAGACATAGAGATATACTGTAGATATAGATATAGTTATACACACATACAAATTATTTCCCTTTAGCCAGAAACTTTCCTCTCACTGTCCTCTCTACGGATTCATCCCAAAACTTATTTAGTACATCAGGTTCTTCACATGAACCTCACTGATTTTTAAAAAAAAATTAACATCAAAACGTTTTTATTGGCAAGAAAGAATTAAGATGGAGATATAACGGTCTCTGTATCCTTTTTGATGTTGGAGCTATGGCACATCATTTAACAACTAAACCCTTCTGTTCAGGTAAAGTAAAGATGATGTCTCGTATTGCTAATTTCTAATCTATAAATAATGAGTCTCATATAGAAGAAATCATGGCTTTAAAAGGTACTGAAATTGAACAGATGTGTGGACTTTTTTTCTTTGCTTTCTGATCCTTGAGACTGCTGAAAAATTCTTCTCATTATACAAATACAGGAACTAAAACAGAGTTCTAGTATCTCCACTGCACACTGATGCTGTTATTAGTTTTGATTCTTCGTTCACATAGTTGGAATGAGAAGGTGAAGTCTTTGCTATAGTTCACTCAGATTGTATTAATCTTCTGTTACAGCTGATGGGCCAAGAGATACGATTCCTCGAGCCTGTCAGTTAAATGCAGATGTGCCGCAAGTCACACAGCTGCTGAACATGAAGAAGCTGCGCCAAACAGAACAAAAATGTAGAGGCCGACCTTTAAATTCACCAGAATTAGGTGATTAATGTTTCTTTATTATATCTAATTGGGCCAATGAATTTTATTCAGGTGACATTACCTATAGTCACACATAATATTAAACCATAACGTGCCATGTTTGTTTTCATATAGCTTTTGTAGAAACCCAAATACTATGAATTATTCAAGAAACAAGAACAGTGTTTAACCCATCCATCCTCTTCAAGGGAGATGCATATTGTCTGGTCTCAGAGTCTATAATATTTATTGCTAGTTTTAATAGTAGTTTTAACTTTTATAGTCCGGATTTTTAAAAATTATAGTTGTCTTAAGTGCTCACTACAAGGTAAGTATAAATAAAATCAATCTAAAGAAATTATAGAGATTCTCAGTCATCCAGGTCATGTGCTTTTTCAGGAGGCAACTGACCTTTCTTGTCTTTTCCTTGAAGACATTTCACTTCTCATCCAAGAAGCTTCTTCAGCTCTAACTGGATGGTGGGGAATGAAAGGATTTATATTCCTTGCAGACATCTGATCATTTGCATCCTTTTTGAGGGTCATTGAAGCACTTCGAGGTTTAAACCTCCAAGTGCTTCAATGATCCTCAAGTAGTCAACAACTACTCAGTCACCTGAGTAGTGCTCCTGGTTCCTCTAGTCAGCAATTTTTTTCTCTGGAAATCCGTTAATGCAAGACTTGCTGTCCCTTTGGGACACTAAAGAAATAGCCCAAATATTGGGGAATTCTGAATGGAGAATTGCTGCTGTTGGACTGATTTGGAAACAGTTTCCAGCAGAGCATAAAATTATTAAAACCAAATTTCCTTAGGAATATACTCTTTGAAAAACTGAATAATTCCACATTATATTTTGCTTTGTTTATAACAAATCAAAATTTGAAAAATGTGTGCTCTTCAATCAAGCTACTTGATCAAGAGTCCAAAAAACCCTCTTTGCCTATGAAACCATACAGCAAAATATCAATAAGTTTTACAACACAATTTAAAAAGGAAATTAATTTAATTTAGAATATTATGAAACTGCTTCTGTATCTAATGTAATTGGGAAAGGGGGTAATAGAGTTCATTTAATTTTGGATTACCAGTTAATAGTATAATTAATTTTTAATTTTATTTCATCCTCTAAATGATAACACATTCAACTTTAATTTTGTGAGACATTTTATTTTGTACCTGAATAAAAATTCAGGGTACTTTATTTCTAGGAATTTCAATGCAATTTATTTTAAAGTTTAAGAACAAATGATATGTGTCATAATGTAGAGATAGAAAGGTAGCCAAGATGATTACAGGTGCGTTGGCATGGATTCCTTGAAAACATGTAATATCACTATCAGCATTTTTAATACCACTATTAACAATTTTAATTCTGATGTAAAATTACCTGGTAATTCCATTTAAATGTGCTTTAGTGGATGTGCTTTAATACAAAACTATGGAAATATGATAGCACAGTCAAATGTTAATGTAATATCACAATCAAATCATTGTTTAAATTTTTTTTGTTTAAATCAAGCATGACTCCTGATGATCACATGGACATAGCTAAATAGTTTTCATGCAAAATTACGAATTTGTTTGTATATTTAATTCATATAAAACATTAAATGTTATAGATATGGTTTGTGTTGCTTTCTTCCAGGTTGTTTTCAATACTCTAGTCTCATAGAGAGAGGGGGGCTTTTTTGGTGTGATGGTTAAAGGTATCAAACCAGAAACCTGGAGACTTGAATTCTAGTCCCACCTTAGATAGAAAGCTAATTGGATGATCTTGAACCACTCTCTGTTCCTCAATAAGAGCTCTTCTTTCCTATGAAGAAGGCAGTGGCAAACCACTTCTGAAAATCTTGGCAAGAAAGCTACATGGACTTCTCTAGGAGTCAATACTCACTTGAACACACACATACACAAAAGTCCAGTATACAGTTCTAAAATTTTCTTGTGGTCTCCTGAGATCTGGTCCTGCCTATTTATTTTTTTTAGTTCTCACAAAGTTGGTTAGATGCTTCCACCTAGATAATCTAACGAGTCTTTGTTGCCTCAGTAATAAGTGAACATGTTTACAAGTGCTTTTCAGTGAATGAGGGTAATTGAGACTCAAATTTTCATCTCTAAGCGATACGGTCATAAATGTGACCGCATTGCTTAGCATTGGCAATCCTGCCACTCCCCATTGCTCCGGTTAATCAAATAGAATTGGTTGTTAGGTAAGGACCCACAGAATCCAAACCATGGCTTGTTGCCTCCCAACCATGAGCTCAGTCAGATAAGGCACTGCCTCACCTTTATAACTCCCCACTCCATCTCTGGTCTTTCATCTGCCCTGCACAACAGCACTCATCAATGGCCATGGCAGTGCAATATTGCTACATAAATATGATTTAAGCATGATCTATGATCTGTCCAGGCTTTGGTCATATTTATGGAGAGATTGATAATTGAAAAGGGTCCACAAATGTTTAGGTATTACTGTACATTTTCCCATGTATCTTTCTATTTTAAATTTTATTATTATTTATAATAACAAAGCAAATACATTGACAATCATAAAGCCATAGATTATGGCCATGGTAAGCCTTCTATCTCAATGCATTTTTGTTTCTCCTTTCTTGACTGAAAGTTCCTAATTCATTGCTTACAACTAATTTCCCTGAATTTCAAATGTAATTTGAATTCATTGCTCTGAATGCTTTCAACAAAATTAATAAAATCCACATGTATCCACCTAATCATTATATGTGTAAATTGACTAACATTTTACATTATTAATTCCTTCAATTCCCAGGCGAGATTAAGTGCTGACTGTTAGTCAATGTAAGAATGTAGGAAGCTTTTCCCTCTTCCAATAAAGGGACCATGGTTTAATTGAACACAGAGTCAAGACTGGTAGCTTAAATTGAAGACCTCATCTTGCAAAGAGCAATATGCAATGCTCCACTAAACACAAATCAAAATTGGTAATTTATGGTAAAAAAAAAACAACCCTAATAGTCCTTGCCCAAATGCTTTTGTTTCCACAGGAACAGCATCCTCAATTTTTTGCTATCACATTATTAAGGACAGATGGGTGTGTTTATTTGTAAATTACCTTGCCTCCTTATGCAAAATACAATTTGCATTGATTTGACCTCTAAAAATACATCTCAGTCCACTTCTGCCTTACGTTTAAGGTTTTTCTTATTTTTAATTCCCTATTGTCAATTTACTGCAAATCACATCCCTGCTTACCCAGTTCACTCATTGTACTTGTCTATCCCCATGGGATTTCCAAAGCTTCCTCACTTGCTAGAAATGATGAGTTTATGAGTTTTGAGTGAACATGAGGCATGAAGAATAGTGGTAAAATAATACTATAGAAACAGCTTTCCACACTAAACCTTGCTCCTACAAACACGTCTAATTTCCAGTCTGGCTACAATTTGCCTTAAATCTATGTTACATGTGCCACTATGGGCTCACTTATGGTCCCTAGTATCCTAAGAAAATGCCTCAGAAAAAAGTCCCTAAGTGTCAGGAAATCTGAGTATCAATGATCGAGGTAAGGGGGAAAAACTGAGTGAATTTTGACAAATTATGCATATTTGGCAAAAACAATTCCTGGAAAAAGTAGAATAATACTTTGATAGGATGTTTTTTAAAGATGAAAAAAATGAAGAAAATTTTAGAACAGTGGCATATTAGAGAATATATGGCCTTTTGTGGGAAATGAATATAAAAACTAGGAAAAAAAAAGAGAAGTTCACAAAATGCAGAAAAAGAAAGATTTTCTTCGAGCCTCTTCCTAAATGTGAAATTAGTTCCATTTCACATTTACTGTATCTACTTAAAATTTATTACATATGAAGAAAGTAAAACTCACCAAGTGTTAAATTGAAATCACTGTTTTGAAGGCCTCTAATAATATAGTGCTTAAATTGAACATCTTCAAAAGTGATTGGGTTAAAACAAAAGAGTTTGACTGATTTAGTGCCCTTATGAAAGGCTCTGTCCCTGTTGAGAACAAAGATGTCATCTCCCTTGGCTCCTGGCACTCAAACCCACAGGAGACCATTACTTTACAGTCTCCCATGAGAAGCTGCTATTCAGAACACTCCTGAGCAATCTTCTGATTTTGCTTTCTTTGGAGAAATGTCAGTTGCCAGTCTTACATTCTCCACATCAGTCATCTCTGCTCAGTTGCATAGACATCTTCAATCAGTCATGATTCACACCAGAAGCCGAAAATCTGAGAATGTTAAAGCAAAACAAAGCAAATCCTTTTTTAACAGCATTTCAATTAGCACAACTTTAGGTTTGGTTGGTAAAGTGGTAGAATAATTAGTGGCTATATCCCTGAGCTCTGTCACTTTGAAAATTCTTGTTAACTAAAGAAAATGAATGCCTTGAGCTTTAGAGTTTAATCTTTATTTTTAATCTAGCAGTATGAATAAGAGATGAATTCTTATGCCATTCACTTTCTTTCAGAGACCCCAAACCAGACCTTTCTAGAAATGAACGCTTTGATAATTTTAAGCTTCAATTTATTTTGAAATTCCATTTTTCAACTTTTCCATTTTAATACTCCAGTTAAACTCCAGAGCCCACATTTTAAAGATGTTTTAATATATAACTTAAGGTGCCAAAGGCATCTAATGCTCCTTCCTCCTATTTCTTCCACAACAACCCTGTGAAATCCTCCATAACAACCTATTTCCTCCACAACAACCTTGTGAAACCCTCTGCTCACAAAAGAATCCTTTATGCCACCAGGCTCGAAATCTTGAGCTTGGACAACCTGGAACTACACCGCCTATGGTCTGACCTAAACATAGTACACAAAATTGACTGCTACAACGTCCTACCTGTCAACAACTACTTCAGCTTCAACCTCAATAATACACGAGCAAACAATAGATACAGACTCAAGATAAACCGCTCCAAACTCAATTGCAGAAAATACAACTTCAACAACAGAGTGGTCAATGCCTGGAATGCTCTACCTGACTCCGTTGTTACATCCTCAAACCTCCACTGCTTCA